CGTGCCGCCCAAAGGCGCATCTGCAGCCTCTCTTGCTCTCTCTTCTTCAGCTTCCGGGCTCGCCGAGCCGCCCACTATGTACTCTGGAGGGCTGCTCTGCGTGTTAAGGCTGAGCTGGTTTGATCCTTTCGGCGCAATAGGGCTTGGGGCCATCTCTCTGAAGCTCTGAAAGAGCAAATGAGGAAAGGTGGTCCCAAAAAATGCTCCATCCACTCCATGAAATCTGGAGCTGGGTGGACTGTAGTTGTCGATGCAGTTGGGACAGAACAGCTTGACAGTATCTAGGCCGGGCAAATCGGATCTGCCGCATGGCAGGACAGGGTGCGAATGACAGAATACTCTGGGGCAGTAACCAAAGTGTCCCGCTTCGTACTTTTCCGCCTGCACGTCGAGAGGTGCACATGTGGCGTAGCAGTTTTAGTCAGCACTGCGAGCTGCATGCAACGATGTTCCTTGCAAGTGACTTACCATTTGTGAAAGACCTTGCCTAGTCAGAATGAACCGCTGATGGATGAGGCCATAAAGCAGTTCGGCACTAGACTCGACGATGGAGACGTCCGGAATTTTCAAGCTGTCTTCCTCTAAAGCGTGGAACGGCGAGGGTTGGTGTGGGGCAAGTGAGCTCCTTTCCTTATGGCGATCAAACGCCAAGTATCTAGGTCACTCACGAGGCTCGACATCCAGTATCATTTCGAGCGCCTCCTTGTAGAAAGGAACGAGCGCATTCAAGCCAGTCAGATTGAAATCGTCTTCGATAAATTCTTCGGCCACCTCCGCAAAGTACTCGTGGCCAGGCAAGCTGCAGAACCAGCTGATCCAGGTCAAACTATCGGTTGCAGAAGATGTGATGGATTCCGACTCTGGTGATAGTTGGTAGAGAAATGCGGAGGTGAGTCAAGAGAGACTTCATAGTCAAGCAGGCGGAAGCTGCTCTATTGCCTTTCCTTTTGCAGAGCGCCAGACGTCACCAGAGGCGGTGAGAACCCATCACAGCAATCCTTCCTCATTTCATTCCACAGCCTAATGAGGATGGCAGCGCAGGAGACACCGCTGCACGAGCATTACAACTCACCATATAGCTCCTCATCTAGACCCAATCGAGCTTCTTCCTCTGCCAAGATTCTTTCCTCTTCGTTCATCTCCTCTTCCTCTTCCTCAGGCAAGCCATCCGCCCCAAGCGCCACCTCATTCGATACCTGATCCTCCTCTTGAGCCAATCCGCCCCTACCCGCGCCCGCGCCAGTCCCACTTCTAGCTCCATTCTCTGCCCACTCTCCCTGATCGTGCCTTTCTCGGGATCTGTGATTGTCCTGTGATGCCCCGTCCGCGCCTTCGGCCCCAACCGACTCTTCAACCAAATCCTCTTCCAT